TGGTTCTGGCGTGAGCAGTGAGCCACAGAGTTTGGCAGGGTTGCAAGATCCCTGCTGCGTGCTAAACCTCAGCTCCTTCCTGCTTCCCTCCTCTCCCCACACAGAGAGGCAATGGGCGCAACAACCCCCGGCCCCACGGCAATGGGCAGCGCAGACCTCTCCGGTTTTGGAAAAAAGCAAGAGTCTTGCTCACCATGTAGGTGCTGCTGGTGGAGGTTACTACTGTTGGTAGCTTATAGCCTCTGTGTAACCTATGCTGCTTTAGGAGGTATTGCCTGTGCATGCATATGCAAACAGCTATCTGAAAAAGGAGCTGTGGCCTCCCTGGTAGCCTCCGGTCTCTGTGACGGTGGCTCAGAGACACCTGCTTTCTGGTGATGGTGCTTTAGGTGCACCTAGCAGAGAGGCTGAGGAGGTCCCAAGGAGGCTCGAGCATCCCTTGGTCGGTGAAAAGAGAGCATCCTCACCTTCCTCCTGTGGCAGCTCCCCAATGTCCTTCTCACAGAGCAGCCGAAATGACAGAAGAAGGACCAGGTCAGACTCAAAAGGCGAAAATCAGGAGCCCCTCCTCAGCAAACCCCTGGGAAGGGATTGAGCTTCATCAGTGTCTGTAACTACTTTTAGCAAAGAGCTTGGCAAAAGCCCTTTCTGGGGTCAGGTGAGGGGAAGCAACACCAAGGGTGCTTGTAAACTGGGGAAGTAAATAAACAAAAGAGTAGTCTGCAAAAAAAGGAAGGGAGAAGGTGTTCCATGTCAGGCACAGACAGGGATGGTGGGCACAGGTGGACGAGGAGCCCCTCCAGCAGTTCAGAAAGCCTGGAGACTTTGCTCCCTGGTACCACAGGCTTCAGGCAATCAAAAAAAAATGTTTCAGAACTTCTGTATGGTGAAGTTCTATGTTAGTTTAAAAAACACACACGACTTCAAATGTAACAGGTTTTGGTTTTCTTCAGTTACATCCATTTTCTGGTCAACAGTTCAGCTGGACTTTTTCAGCTGTTCATTTGGGTGTGTAAACACACTTAGTTTGGCAGGTCAGCCGAGTTGCGACACACGTGGAGAGCAGCCAGCCTGCCGGGGAAGCACGCAGAGGGAGTTGGGCCACAGGCGAAAGGGGTAGGGCGAGGGGCCATGCCTGTGACGCAGCGATGCCGAAGCGATAGCGTTTGTGCAGCTCTTCCAGCTGAGGGATGCCGCTCTCCCAGGGCCCGTTGCAGCCTGAGGGGCAGCCTGGAGGGACCATGGGCCAAGAGGCTGCAGCTGGCAGTGGATGTGCGTGTTCCTCTGTGTGTGAGTGCGTGTATGTGTGCTGAGGACCAGCGTATTTATCCATATTGATCACATCGTTCACTGCTAGAATGATGTGGAGGCTGAAGGTTAGCGGCACTCAGTGGGGATTCACAGCTATGTGAGGCAAGAAAGAATAAAAGGACTCCCTTGCGTCACATGAGGCTGACATTGTCTCTTCAGCTGCTGGAGTTGGAAGATTGAGTCACATCACAAAACACTGCAATATTTTGAAAAATAATTTGTTCTGGCCTGGGAGGAGCAGGAGGGTGGCAGGGGCACGAAGCCCACGTCATGCGCTTTGCTGGGGAATTACAACTCCAGGTGGCTCCGTCTGGCTTCTGTCCCATTCTTCTGACACCAAGAAAGGACAAGGAGCTAAACAGTACCTGACACCCTTCTCCTCCCTCTCCACCAGTTATTGCAACTGATTTGCCTTTTAAATGCTGGTTTTTGCAAAACCCTCAGAGAAGGCAGTGAGTGAGAAGCGTCACCTCCGCTGGCACTAAGCTGGCCTGCCACATCAGCTAAAAATAGTTTCTCCTCCTGTGCCCTCCCAGCAGGTGCAGGGCTCCCTGCTGAGGCAGGCTGTGCTGCCAGGGCAGAGCCGCAGGTGAGTCTTGCACTCGTAGCCGGGTCAGTGGCTCTGCAATGCCTGAGCTGGGCTTGCTCATACGAGCTGAGTGTAGCCTCTGCTTTGCACCCAGTTAATTTTTGGCACATTAGCACATTCAGACTTGATGTGCTCCTGGACTGCGGCAGTAAGTGCTAGAAGAGCAGCGTGTTTGATGGGTGCCTGTCATGGCCGCCTGAGCCGTTCCCGCAGGCTCCAGCATTGCCAGCAGCCCCTTCCCGCCCTCGCTGGCTTTTGCAACTTTGGAATCAGTTGATATTGAACTGGCTTGTCTGCAAAAATCCCATCCAAGTTGGGAAGATTTGTGAAACTTGAACCTCCGCCAAGCCGCAGCTCCCCTTTCGTCCCTGGTGGCAGGGAGGTCAGTCAGGAAATTCAATCTCCATCACAGTCCAAGGGCTTCAGTGAACAAGAGCGGTGAGGGGCAACCGAAAGCAGATCTCTGGCAGATGCATAATGTACCCGTCGCATATGTTT